TTTCCGCTTTCCGTTTTCGTCTTTATTGACTCTTTAGTTGTCTCTGCTTAACAAAACGAGGGTGGCCATACACTTTCCCGCCAAACTAACCAGACATTTGGCATCGGCTTAAATGAATTGTCTGTAAGGACGGGCGTACGCTACGTCATAACCAATTTTTCTTGCTTTCATCTGTTTCCAATTTATTTTAGCAATGGGGCTCTGCCCTTGCGGAAGCTCCGCTATAAGTAAGTATATCGGAAAAATCACCCAGACGCGACGAGGCCAGTGCACATGAGGTAAGTAGTCCTGTCTAAGGACACTAAATGACAAGGAACATGGAGTATTGTATCTGTCTGAACGTGATCACGAGTGAAAAATGAAATAAATGCCACTGTAACATTTCTCAAAATTGTGTCTCAAAATGCACTAGATTACATCTCGGCGCATATTCATTTCAACACACTTCTGGGGGTGGATGCCCCCAGACCACCCTAGGAAGCTCGTGACCTTTGGCCACTCAGGACTTCTCCCTCAAACGATAAATCCTAGATAAGAAACCCATAACTAAGTTGCCAACATTTCGCGCAGATAGCTATAGGTGGTCGATTGGTACGAAGGTAGTAGTTGAGCGATGTAGTAGAGCTGCTGTGGTAATAAGCTCTTGTGCGGGTCGATCCGGATTGTCCCGGCAGGCGGTAGCCAGTTGACTCCAGCAGTGGAGGTCTTCGGTCTTCGTATTTCTCGCTCCGTCTCGCTGTGAAGAATAAAGAACATCAAGATGTAAAGCCAGATACATGGAACCTCTTCGCTAAGTGGGCGAATGCCTCGGTCTGTTGTTATTTGCAATGCATTCGAGCAAGTTCTTCAACCTCACCAAAGCCAAGGGCTAAATCTATATCGTTTCAAACCGATGCAGTTGACGCTATGAGACGCCGAGAAAGAAATAAATAAACGCGGAGACAAATAAGGGGCGACCGGAGGATTTTGTGATAGAGGGGACCTAGAAATACAGTATACAGTGGCAATATGGACGCGATAGCGCCCATCAGAACTGCGAGTGGCGCACTTTTCTAGGGAGTTTCGGGAACATGCTCCCTCGGGAAAATTTTTGAGATTGAAGTTCTCTGATAGGCAATCTAGTGCATTCTGGACGCTTAAATTTAGCAAATGCCTGGATTTCATATTGAACGTGTAATGCTGACCACAGGTGTGATTGTCGTCAGAGAAGTAATTAATACTTTATGATTCTTGCAGAGGGCGAAGCGATTGTGGCGAGAGCAAAACCTCCCGGCAAAGGCAGCAACATTGTCTCCCTGAAAAATTGTCATACCCAGTTTGTTTGAGACGGATATTTACTGCATGTATTCTGGGACCTTTGGTCATGTGCGACTAAATACGTAGGCTTCGAACACAGCTTCTTTTCGAGTTAACGATGTTTATTAAAGAAAATATATTTAACTAACAAAGCTCGAATTTCCATCCGTCACACATTTACAAAAGAAAAAAAAAATTCTAAGACAAAACGGGGCAGGGACCCCTAGGGCCACCCTTAAATTCGCTCTTGCAAATCAAACTCCCGATCATGCAGCGACTAATCGGCCTTCGAAAAACTGGACCGGCAGTTACTATAGCTAAGAACACGTTATCTGAAAGGTCCTTGTTGGCGGCCTTTTTCAAACTTGAGAGGTAAAAAAGGGCATCACATTCAGAAACTGCAGATAATTATTATTCTTTTAGAACTCTCCATAAAAACATATTATTAGAGAAACACTTGCATCTTATGAATAACTCTGAGCGAGCAACTCCCATACTAGGCCTATGTAACTTGCGTTTTTACGTACCAGTTTATTTTTAGACACATTTTAGGACACTTTTTCCCGCGAAAATAGCATCTCCACCGTGTATATGAACCCATTCGAGGTATACGTTATCAAAGGGGAAAACTAAACGTCATTAAAACACAAAAAATATCATTTTTAGGTTTGTAGGTTTTGCCCCTTGGTTTGTGGCATTTAAAATATGTTCAAAATTCTCGCCAAAACCGTTCTAAAAATAAACTGGTCCTTGAAAAGGCCGTGACACGAGCGCATGGAAGTTGCTCACTCCGGGTTATGGGCTCCTGGTTGCATTTGAAAAAGGGCGATATAAATTAAAATCCGGGAGCTAGGGACGTTTTGCTTTATCGGTGGACTAAAAAGGTTTGACGATAGATTTTAATAGATTAGAGCACGCTCAGTTTGGCTAGGTTGGCGATATGATAAATACTGTGCTTCTTCTGAGGTGTGTCTCGGTGTCTTTGTTCAGCAGTTGATACAATCTTTAAAGTTTTTTTGTGGATTGTTGCGGGCGTTTTTCGTGTGTAACGAAAGAAGGGAAGGAGGTATTGTCACGTGATCACCTAAATTTTCTTGGATAGATATCCAAATTTCTTAGCTATGGGGCCTGGGGCCCTGCTAATACCTACGTTGCTTAGAGAGAAGTATCACTGCGATAATCCCGAAGCAATGTTTATTCCCTGTTGTAATTACCCTTTCGACGAGACCTGATGTCTTTCTCAAGAGAAGGGGAAAGAGAATCTTCTCGGAATATGAAGCCTCTGGTGTGACGTTCTTAAATTTGTCATAACCTTCCTATCTGGAATTTTCGAATAAACGAGCTTTTTTTTTAGATGGTAAACGGAATAGCTGCGTGGCCTATGAGGGAAGAAGCGGCTGTACAAAGGCTATGAGAGATGGAAATAAATGAAAACCTTCCGCTGATTACTCCGTGGCACGAAATTTTTGTGGGTTCTAAGTTTTGCGATTTTTAGCTGATTTTTCCAGCGATCCGCCAAAATAGGTTAATGCAAGAAAGAATTACCGCAAACACTTTTCCCCCAAACGTTTACTCCAGAGTATTAAAATATTCTCTAACTTAAATTTGCTACACAAAAATACAGCACTAAGAAATTATGTCTGTTCAATCACAACTTGTCTCTTTCATTCAGAAACAAAACGGTAGACAACGAAATATTGGTTTGTTCTTTGAAAATATGTATTTCTATCGCACGTACTTAATAAAAAGGAAAATATTATAATTGCTGGGTTCTGGGCACTTTCTGAAAATCGCAAAAATTAACTGTCACCAAGAAAAACCGGTCTTTCCTAATCAAGAGAGGATGATCTAGCTCATTCTCTCTTGTGCTAATCGAAACAATTAGTTCCCGCAAAACACAAAAAATCGCCAATCCGCAAAAAATAAACTCACGCAAAAATTTCGCGCCGCACGGGTATTCCGACCCCAGTTCTTCGCGCTTATCGAGACCCTGTTTGCATCTTCGACTTGTGAACTTTACTAAGTCACAAGACTTCTTAAGACTCCTCTTTGAATAGTCTTTAAATTCCAGGCCAATCCTAGCTTCGTCAGTTTGGGCCAGTTCAACAAAGGAAAACATTGTTTGACTTCAGAAAGTGAAAAATTTTACAGTTAAGATTATCACCGGGGCAAGAAAATTTGCCGCCATATGAATTAAAACAGCTCCATTAGTTGTCAGTTGCTCGGCAACTTGTAGTCAGAGACACTGTAATAGCATTTAAATGTTTGCATGGACTAGCCCTAGAATATCTGCGCAGCAAATTCATTGTTGGAGCTCATGTCCACTCTGTCAATACTGGAGACAGAAAGGAGTTGGATGGAACGCTGTTCAGAAGAGCTCATTGTTAGGAACTGTGTAGCGCTGATAAGTTGATTACAATTAAAATTTGTCTTTGTGTTCTTAGCGCTAAAATGTTTGAAAATGCGGACGTTTCGGGACTACTGTCCCTTCATCAGTGGAAGATGCCGTTACACTGAACGCGCCTCATTTTATTCAAATGTGGCAACATTTGAAGCGCGCGCTGAAAGAGTTCGCTCAAATAAAATTGAAGTCAATGTTTATGCCGCGCGGCTGCAGAGTTTTGCATTTAAAAATTAGGCGACCCTCCGCTCTACGTCTATCCCTGGTGTTGTGAAGACCCGCTCGAACAACAGCTACCATCATATCATCAGTTGTGCGACCGGGGGAGGAAAAATGTTTAGCAACGGGTAGGTCAGCTTTCTTTGAGACAGATCTGAGGTGTTCGCAGAACCTGTCCCCAAGTCTACGTCCGGTTTCGCCAACTTACGACAGAGTGCACGCCCGACAAGTTATGATATACACGAGGTTACTTGTCGTGCATGAGAACCTCTGCCGTATGGTCAGAGGTTCACCGGGGGTGTTGATCTTGGAGGCTGGGTTAGTGACCGGGGGTGTTGATCTGGGAGGCTGGGTTGGTTCACCGGGGGTGTTGATCTTGGAGGCTGGGTTGGTCCACCGGGGGTGTTGATCTGCGAGGCTGGGTTGGTTCACAACAGCTACCGTCCAGCGGGCCACTTGTGAGTGACTCGGCTTTGGAATGAATTACCTCGGGACTCTGACAGGTGTGAATAGTTGTCTGCTCTTAAGAGTTGCACTTTTTGGAAAATTTCATAGTTGCGTAGTTTCATAGAACCTAACCAACTAACTAACCAAAATAGTTTTCATATGTTCGTAGCTTTTTTACCGTAATTGTTACTGAACAACCATTTCACTGGAGTGAGAAACAAATTGTTTATTTATTTATTATTTATCAACCAAAGCAATAATTCTCCATCACATTTTTTGATTCGAAAATGTTTGGTTTTCTTTCTTCTACGAAAAATAGCCCAACCTTGGGAGTAAAATGTGAAAAATTAAACGTCAGAAAAATCGTAGCGATTTTATTAGATAAGCTTCGAAAATTGTACATGAATGGTACGGTCATCTAGAAATGTTTAGCCGTCCTCGAGTTATAGAAAATCCTAAGAAATATTTGCCTCTCCGAACAGATATTTTACAGAAAATAGTCGCTGGGTTCCCTTGAGAAATTTCATTCCATAATCCAAAAAATTGTCGATCTGGCGGCTCCTTCTGGCTTGATAAGCAATACACTTACTTAAAAAACCTCTTCAAGTTTTTCCCGTCCTTGACAGATGAGTCGATTTTCGATTCTGCTTGTGTTTCCCGTACAATCCTCCATGTTTAGTTATGTTTCGAAAGGGATGCATTTATCAGCCAAAAGCTCGAGGGTGGTCCCCGGGTGGGCAAATGCACGACCCAGGGCCGAGGATAATTTTCTAAAACCCCACCCCCTGGAATGACAAGGCGCACAAATGCCCAGCAGTTGCCCGGTGGGGGAGGGCATGGGCGCACCTTGATTTGACTGATGCTTCAAGGTAAGCGTGCTTTCTTTTGCCGGAAATGTCAGTTAAAAATTAACCAGGATAATTAAACAGACGACAACATTTCCTCGAAAAAGCGCCTGCGGTCTAATTAGCGCTCGCCCCAAAAGCCATAATAGCTGTGGTCACACTACAGACTTTTACCTAGGTAAACCCTTTTTACCTAGGGCAAATTCATCAAAAATCTACCTAGGTAAATTCATCTCGGGTTTTGTTTTACCTAGGTAAAAATTCTGTTAAGGTCACACTACTGATATCGGCTCCCAATATTTTCACGCCTGTTAAATTTTTTGGAGTGTGAATTCAGAAGGCAAAATGCGCAGGGATCTAGCTGATCAAAGAGACGTTTTTTTCTTTTATCTTGGTGTTATTTCTTACGCTAATTCAACGTGCAAGGTGAAGAAAGGCGAAGACGTAGACGACTTGTGCTCCCAAAATTTCTATCACAGCTTGATCTATGTCCGGTTCTGTCATCAAGACCTTCGCCGACGAGCGTCTATTGGCTAGCAACCTCGGTATTTCATTTTTCCCTAGCTATTGCTTTGGGGTAGCTGTCAAGGGAAACTCTATTGTTTTCGAGACATATCCAAGACCCAGACGATAAAATTTCCCCAAGATAAGTTACCTAGGGAAAAATCGGTCACACTTAAAAAATCAAGTTTCCCTAGGTAAACTGTCAACAAGTCGTGTTTACCTAGATAAAAAGTCTGTAGTGTGACCACAGCTAATGTCGAATCTGCCTAGACTTTCTAGCCTGTTCCAGGCTTTAAGACGGTGGGCAACCTCGCCCCCAGGGCTTTTCCCTTTCCACCCATTTTTTAAGGGAAAAACCGTGGGGACGAGGTTGGATCGTGGGGACAGAGCAAAGAGATTTGAGTTGAAAAAAAAAACAACAACGAGAGGGTGTTGTAGGGGTGAGTTCACATCTCTCTTCCTCTCCCTCTTTTCCTCCTAATCTTTATTTATCGCTCTCTAACAACAACAACAGTTTATTCAATTGTCAAATAATTTAGGTCTATGTTACCCACAATTAGCGGAGCTATTCTAGGTGGGCAACTATACAATAATTGTCTTCTATAAAGTCGGGAAAAAAACGTGTTCAGGTAGGAACTGGTAGTGGTACTCATATCAACAGAGACCGTCTTAGTCATTCCAAAACCTTGATCAGTAATTTATGTAATTTACGCTTGAAAGGGTCTTTGTGCTGTTCACGTAACGTAAGAGGAATTTTGTTCCAAATTCTTACACCACTACTAGAAAAAGATAACAATAGCTGATTGAGTCTAGATCTTTGGACATAAAAATTACCTGAGGCAGAAAATCTGGTATAATGAGAGTGGATCATGTTAGAACGGACGAACAATTCAGAAATGTTAGAAGAAGCCCGGTTATTGGAGATATCGTGCATTAGGATGGCCGAATATTTAAAGTACAGCATATTCAGAGGCAAAACACCAAACCTGACGAACAAAGGTATGGCATGAATTCTCCTGTCAGAAAAGTACATTAGCCGTAGAGCTCATTTTTGCAATATTATACTTTTTTTTTTCAGACTTGAATTGGCAGCTTGTCCTCATGCAATTAGTCCATAGAAAATGTACGGTTCGATTAAGGAACCATAAATTTTTAAGAGAGTGCTGGTAGACACTAAATGCCTAAGCCTGGCAATGATGCCAACCCCTTTGCTTATTTTTGACGAAATATAGTCTATGTGGTACCTTCAAGAGAGGTGACTATCAATCAAAACACCGAGGTATTTCACAAAATGTTTTTGTTCAAGAGAAGTCAATATCTTTCAGTCATTGTCACACATTTTTAAGGTTACGTTGTAATCAGGCTTTCGTTCAAAGGGATGAAAAATGACAAAATTAGATTTGCTTGTGTTTAGTATTATTTGTTTGTATTAAGCCTTTCGCAGACTTTCCTTAGTTCTTCGGCTGACAGAGGACCGGAGGCGCATGCGTGATAGGGGAGAACTGGTTGCGATAGTCTCTATGGACCTTTCTAAAGCTTTTGATGTCATTCATGCATGACTTACTGTTGGCAAAACTCAAAGCATGTGGAGTTGGCGAAGGAAGTTACGCGCTACTTAAGAACTACTTGTCAGGAAAACAGCAGCGAGTAAAGATTGGAGATACCTTCTCCAACTGGGCGGGCACCAGAAGAGGGGTCCCACAAGGGAGCGTTTTAGGACCAATGTTTTTCAATATATTTATTAATGACTTGTTTCAGCATGTGAAATATGTAAAACTAAACGCATACGCAGACGACCATCAGATTTACTCGTCTAGCCTAGACCCACCCGCACTGGAAGAGTGCATTTGTCAAGAAGTTAATGTCGCAAATCAGTGGTATAAAAACAATGGCGTGATTGTTAACAAGAAAAAGCACCAACCTCTAATCCTGGGAAAAACTGAGCACAATTTTAGTTTCTCAGTAAATAACTCAATAGATATATTTGGGATGACAATAGATAATAGGCTCTCTTTTGATAACCACGTATCAGTTATCTGTAAGAAAATAAATAATCAATTTAACGTAATGCTTACATTTCGGAAACTTATTAATAAGGAGACGCTATTGAAGCTTTATAAAGCCTTTATTTTGCCACATTTTTACTACTGTTCTTCTGTGTGGCATTTCTGTGGTGCGCACAATGCCGACAAAGTGGATAACCTAAATAAGCGCATTTTTAGGTTTATACTACGGGACTACAGCTCTCCATATGGCATTTTACTTAGCAAAGTTAACATGAAATCTCTATTCATAAGACGCCTCCAGAACTTCATGATCACATCACATAATATAAGAGTCTGTTCTTTACGAATTATCCAGGTTATTTAAAAGATATGTTCACCGTACAGTCTTCATCCTACAATTTGCGCGGAAATAATATCCTGGCCCTTCCTAACCTAAAAACAACGACTTACGGTCTGCACTCTTTTTCATACTTAGCTAGCAAAATATGGAACTCTCTCCCAGACACTTACTAAACATTAAATTTCCTAGAATTCAAGCAGGAGATTCTCAGATATGGAGCTTTTCCACGGTAGATTTACAAGTTATATTTCCCTTTGCATGCATAATGTTGTATACAGTTTATAAATAATATTGGAATTGTAATATGGCATATTTTATTTTATTTTAACTTATTTTCTCGAATACATTAGCTCTACAGCTACTCTGTAAATTTCGAGCATAAATAAAGTATATGTATATGTATGTATGTATTCAATATCCAAAATTGCGTGTTAAGTAGAACAGTTTGCTCGGAAACCATACTGTGCATTATAAAGAATGTGTTGTTTTTTTTCGATAAAGGAGGTGAGGCGTTTACGCATCAGTCTTTCGAACAATCGATTGAACATAGATAGTAATGAAATTGGCCGATAATTGCCTAGTTCAGTTCTGTCACCTGTCTTATAGACTGCAGGGGCGTAGCCAGGATTTTTCAAAGGGGGAGGGGCGGTCACAGTCTCACAGAGGCTACTCACCGCTGCTCTCCCTCGTGTATCAGCGGGCTCAGTCGTATTATCGCGGCTTGAAGGCCCATATTAACTAAAGACAAGAGCCGTTGACGAAAATACTTTACAAAAAACAAATTTTAAAAAAGTGGGCTTTTCAACAATGGCTTTTACGGCCAAGATATTGTCATGGCGTTTTCGCCACCTGAATATTGTAGGTTGTTTGGTCTTTTACGTCATCAGTATGGAATTTCTGTCGCTGACTCGCAGACTTTCCTTCTCACGAAACGTCCCCAGCGGCGAGGAGCGAGGAGAAACGGCTGTTTTCGCAGGCTAACATAAGATGTGTCCTAAATGTTCACTGCCCTGCATAGGCTGCAGGAACAGAGCTCCGAAAATATATTTTTCGGAGGGAGAGAAGCGACGACCGGAAATATACATCTGCGCTTCGCAGGCTAGGAAAAGGAAGGAGAGCTTGCAACTACCTATCTGGAATTCAGTTTCAACTCTGTCTGGAATTTGAAAATCTGCATCGAAATAGTCGATGCGAAATGCTGATTGGCGAAGATTACATTAGCAATGATGTTACATTCACGTACGTTATGTGCTGATTGGCAGAAATCTGACAGTTGTGACGGCGAGCCACAGGGCCTGTTTCAGGCGTTCGGATAGAGGAGTGCGGCGCGAAGGAAGAGAAAACCTGGTTCCCAGGGTTCTCTCCTACCCGCCCTACGGAGCGAGAGAGAGAGAGAGCTCTTTCTCTCTCTCGCTCCGCAGGGCGGGTAGGAGAGAACCCTGAGAACGAGGTTGAGGAAGAGAGCGAGAAAAAAACTAAGGAGGAAAAGAGGGCGAGGGAGAGAGAAGGGAACCTTCCCTCGCTCTCACCCCTACCCCGCCCCCTCGTCGTTGTTTTTTTTTTTTTTCCGCTCACATCTTTTTTCGCTGTCGCCACCGCTGGGTTACCTGTGGCCTCACGAGCCTGTGACCGACCTGTCAATGGCCAATTTTTCTGTCATGACATAAGCCTCGTTTCAGTGAGAAGTTGTCGGTGGAGTCGTGCTTCCATCGTGCCGCAGCAGCACATCATAGTACGTGAGGGAGTTTACTTATTCATCTACGCACATGAAGTTAAAGATACGGACTGTATTGCTTAACTGATGTAGAAGAACACTATCCAAGCAGCGGTGAGTAGAATTGGACCAGTTATGCCACTAAGTGTGCCGAATTTTTGCATGCCCCTTCCGAGTCTCGCAATCAGCTGAATCAGCTGAATCAGCTGAATGAAATCAATTGTTGCTCTGAATGAAAATATTTAGGAGTGAAACTGGTTATTAACATTGGAAAACCGTCTAGATCGTTTACTTTTAACGGTGTGTGGAGTTTTATCGGAAAGGAAAAGCTGCATTCTTCAAAATTTCTGGATGCGATTGACTTGTTTAGAGCGTGTCATCCCGGAATGATAAACTGGGACCACAGGTAGCCCACACAATCTGTTTGCTTAACCGATGTAATTTGCCTTATCTTCGGTAAATTTTGTCCTTTTGCCTCAGAAGTGGTATTTCCAGCGATTTTGAAGGATTTTGAGTTTGCTGTTCCTCTTAATAGAAGGACAAGGGTGGAATCAATTTTTGAACGGCTCCAGCACTATAGCGATTTTCCCTCAGAAAATCCCATCGCTCTGCCTTCAAACCTCGCAGCAGAAAGCTCGTAACATTCACCCTTGTTCTTGTACCTTCCAATCAAAGGTCCATCCAAAAGGCCCGGAACTAGGCCTCGAAGAAAATTAAAATTTCAAAGTTTTTGAACGGTCCAAATGCATAGCAAGATTTATCTGTGCCGGCCAGAAACGTTCCCACTGATTGCCTCTTTTTAACTGGATTTTTTTAAACCAAATGCTTACACAACTAGACCCCGACTTTACTGGGCTGCCCGGCATAAAACCAGTGTTGTATGAGAAGGAGAAGTTTTCTAGAACAGACAGCCAAATGCATATTATAAAGGGAATTAACCCATTAAACAGGCCTCACTCAAGCGACTGTACTGAGACTTTAAATAGATGATAATCTTATTTTAAAACTTATGGTCAACGCGAAAATGCATTTTTGCCACAAAAAAAATGTTCTGTTTCAAGATTTTTCCTTTTGTTTCTTGTTATTTTTCTCGAAGTTAAAGGAATTAGCTGTTGCATTTTCCGACCTTGAAAAGTTTAAAGATTTGATTACTCACACGTCAGTTTCATTGGACTGAACGTTAAAAAAATGTCAACAGATAAAACGGTAGATAATGCAGTGTTTTGTTGATTCCTGTGGGGTACTCACTTATATGAGCCATATAGGTATGTGCCACCCCAGGGGCAGGCGAGCATACCATGAGATATTGCAGGGACTAGGATATGCAAATTAGTCACTCGCTCACTCGTAGTAGATGGACATTGGGTCGAGTCTAGTGCGAATTCGAGAGTGCGAAGATCCATTGTTTCCAAAGAAGCACACGCTTGTTGAAGTTTGGTGTGATAAAATTCTTATGAGAACATGCATCGTTCGCTGCTCAGACTCAGAGTTTTCTTTGTGGTAAATTTTCTACAGCACGGTTAGAGGTCTTACCAAATTTAAGACATGCAGGAGTCTTTGAGAAGAGTAGGATGGTTAAGTTCGGGATTGAATTGACGAGAAGATGAGCATTTGCTCTTCAACTCTGCAAGATCATGGGGGATATACAAATTCCAGCTTGCTGGAAAGTGATCTGAAAGTGAGAAAATATCATGTCATGCTATTCTTGAGAACCCATATGAGCCAAAAATGGATGTGATTTTGACCATTAGCTTGAAAATAACAGTTAAAAATCAAGATAAGAAAACATGTTTTGCGTCGTACTTTGCAGATGAGGTGTATCGGCTCTGTAAAGCACACAATGTATGTGTTGTGGTTCAAATTTGATCTTTGGTGTGAATTTTTTTAAACCAGTTTAAATTTTTCAAACTAGTTAGAAATTTTTAACACTTAACTTGTTCTCACTTATTTGTACCTCTCCTTCTAAAATACGGTGTAAAATAAACTCACATTTTATTAAGCATTCATTTTAGTGATTAGGGTTAAGCATTTATTTCAAATGGTTAGCTTTCATGTAAGGTTAGGGGTAGCGTTTGGCACCCAGTTTTGTGATTGGGGTTGAGTGCTTTGTTTCTTTGTTTGAATGGTTTGGGTATGGTTGGGGTAAGATCTCATGCAAGCACTTAATCGAATGTAAAAAGCAAGTTTTTGTAGTTGCAGAAAGACAAAAGTTAGACACCTGCGGCTCCTGGGCTCTGCTAGTGCAAAGTCCTGTGTGCAAGTAAGAAATAAAAAATAAGAAATACTTGGCTTTGGTTACATCAACAGATATTTATTTTTTGGCACTCCTGTAAAATATTATTTTACTTGCAGCACAACAAAAGAGAATGGTTACAATTCATCTACCATTTAACTAATGAAGTCGTTGATCATTTTCGGCCAATTTACATGGACCAGTGAAGGAAATTTCTTTTTCATAATCAAGTTTTACATTTGTTGCTGTACAGGGGAAAAGTCTGGAAGGAGCAATCAGGGTTCTCAATAGATTTTTAAGTAGGAGGTGATCACTGATAAAGTAGGAGGCTCTTCAGCAAAGCCAGAGGTGTCAAAACAAAGCAAAGAAAAGCGACTTAAACACAAAGTAAGCGGCTATAAATCCCAAAGTAAGCGGCGATCAATCGCCGGGTGCCACCTTCTATTGAGAACCCTGAGCAATGAATCCTTTAATGTGACCAAATGGTGTCACTACTTTCACATAATCATTTTCAATTTCAAGCACTTTTCCCAGAAGTAAATTTGGGTAGAAAGGAGATTTCTTGTCCACTCTATCTATTTTAAATGAAACCATGTCATCAATTTTGCACACTTTCTTTCTTGGATTTACTTCTGACTGTTTGATCATTTTGGTATTGTAGCTTTCCTGTGCTTCTTGAATTTCTTTTCGTTTCTGCTTTCCTGGGCCTTCTTCAAGATCATGGTCTAATACTTCCCTTTTGGCCTTCATGTGAAACACTGCTTCATATGGTGTCATGTTGATAGCACGATGATAAGTAATGTTCATGATGTAGGATGCTTGCATTGTGTACTTGCACCATTTGGAAATTTGGAGACCACATGTGGTCATTATCAAGCTTTTCATGTTTTCTTTGAATGTACAGTTTGACCGTTCCACTAGCCCTTGCGTTGTTGCAGTCCCGGCTGCTCCATGGAGAAGTTGGATCTGATTAGTGCTACAAAATGCTTTCATTTTCTTGTTTTCAATTCACCTCCATTATCTGTTAAAATTTTTTGGAGGTAGCCATAAGTTACACAATACTTTTGAACTTCATTCAGTACTTCATCAGCAAGTTTGTTATTGATGGGATGAACATTAACAAACTTTGTGTGGTGATCAATAATATTTATAGTCCACTTGTGCTTTGGCTCACATTCACATGGGCAATTTCTGAAATCCATAACCGTCAATCCTTCAATCAAGGAAAGGAATGATTCAGCTTGAAGAGGACTTACCACAGGTTTCACTCTGGTGGTTATGGGTTTTTGCTCTGCGTGAAAACGGCAAAGAAAAACAAAAGTATTCACAACTTTCTGTGTTACTTTGGAAGAATTATCAGCAATCTATTTCTCAGTTTTTTGTTGCCCTCTGTGAGGAATTCTATTTTGGCATTTAGAAAGTATATCAAAGAGCATTCCTTGATTTGCAACTTCTTTCCCTTCTGTGGTTAATAACTTCCCATTCGCATATTTCCACTTTTTTTGCTTGATGGTGTTGATTTCTGCCTTTGAAAGCTGTGGTGTTTTGATCAAAGGTTCAATGTCAAGCTCTTGTTCTGTGACAACTTTGAGATAATTCTTCACTCAATGATAGAACTCTTCTTCGAGAAACACATTTACTGACGATTTGTCTTTAAAGACTCTTTTCAGCCTTTAATTTTGGCTTCAAACATTTCTTTAGAAATACAATCGGCAATTTCGTTGAAGTCTGCCATGCTTTTACTTGGTAGAAATGCGCATGTGCAGATGTGTTTAATATGTGCAATATGAATAAATTACAATTTTGACCGAGAGGAGCCTGAGACGAGTGGGTAATAATATGAGAAAGAAATAAGGGTGAATTTGTAATGATTGCTCGCGTGGACAAGTGGATAAGGAAGGCGACTGCAGATCCTGAGGCTGGGAGTTCAAATCCTGGTGAATACCAACAAATATAAAGAAAGATAATTGTGAGATAATATGTGGGGTTAGGTGAAAAGTAGTAAGAGGGGTTAAGAAGACCTAGGTTCAGGAGGGAAATGACAGAACAAGGAGGAAGGGGTGGTTGGTGAGATGCAAAAAAAACCGGAATTTTCTGATAAGCCCTAATTCTTTTTAAGAACCCCCCAAAAAGCCAAGCCCCTATTTTTCAACCACACCCCAAAAAGGGAAAGGCCCTTTTTCAGACAGTTGATAAAGGAACTGGTTTAAAAATTTCAAAACAGTTTGAAAAACTTAAACCTGGTTTGAAAAATTCGAACCAAAGGTAAAATTTTGAACCACAACATATGTTCTTTCATTCATTCATTGCCATGAAATGAGTTTACACTGTATTTTTTTTTTAACTGTCAATAGCTGCGTTTATGCGGCTTGATCATCTTAAAACGGCGTTTGCTGGCGGATTTTCCACGGGAAAGGCATTAAATCAAAAACTTTTCACCGGGATGACGTAATCAGCATTAGTGGTGTAGTGGTTAGGTAAAGTCACAACGAGCCGAATGTGCTGGGTTCGAGTCCTGCTCTGGACCTTTCTTTCTTCCTTCTTTCTTTCTTTTCTTTTTCCCGTTTTTGTTTTCTTGTTTTTCTTTAAATATATACTTTAGTAGAAAAGTATTTACAGAGAAAAGATAGTATATTAAATATATGGATATAAACAATCTGAATTTCGATCATTTCCTTCAGTTTACTGTGGGGAAACCAGAATTGATAACCATTTGATTATTTTCTAAACAAGGTTCCCGTGAGTTGACGATAGTCTTTCTTTGATTGGGCTGAAAATGGGTATAGATTTTGCCCAGTTTGGTTTGGAATAGGGTGTGGTTTTCGAGGGAACTATTGGAGTATGAACGTATTTATGTTTTCAATTCCAAATGAGTAAGTAAGAAAGAGAAATATGTGAAGTCTAAATGGATTGGAAGAATTTTTTTTTGTTTGCACTCAATCAAAGTAATGATGACATAATTTCTGCCTGAAGGCCATCTCTGAGTACAGGTATGGATTTTGGAGGTCTGGTTTGAAAACGGGTTTGGAAAATGACATTTTTTGGTCTGTAATAGGGTCAGGATTTGGAGAAGCGGGCAGCACACCCCCACCAAGAATTCCCAGGAGTACCCCCTGGGTTTTCTACAGTAATGTGAGTTGACAATTTGCTATTTTTCTTAGCCGTAACTAATATATTTTCATGGAAGACAATTATTCTATTGTTTACTCCTCCGAAATTTTAGATGAAACACTTTTCACAGCTAAATCCGTGGGTGGCTGACTGAACTAAAGCGCACCTTGAAATTCAATAAGCCGAAATTTAATAGCTCATGACCTTGTTTAGATCATAATTAAATCTGGCTCAGAGTGCAATTCTAGAAGCTGTGAAAACGTTGATAGGAGATTTCTATTTACAGTGTAAACCCTTATGAAAAAAGGAATCAATGATTATTTCTCGTGGAGAGCACATTCAAATCTCTTCGACCGACACTTGGCATTTATTTTGCATATCTTCGGGACCAACTGGTAACGTTGTGAAGATCAACACTAAAGAAAAAGAAAAGAGGAAATCAATATACACAATTCCTGAGCAACAGATCACTTCACCACTCTCGTATGAGATCAGCTCTCCCACCACTTGTTAAACTCATTGTTACAAAAAAGGTTCCTTTTAAGCGAGCGTGACCGTACCGAACCAGACTCAATTGATATAAATTACCTTTCAGAGTATGGAGTTTAGTCTTGTCTAGCGGTTGTTTGCCAAAATTCCTGTCCGTGTTGCTCATTGCCAGTTCAGCTGGTGTGAAAAAGTTGGGAAGAAGCTTGATGGCACACTTGTACCGATCTGTCTCAGACTGCCGAGTCTCATGGACACGCTGTACCTTTTGAGGAGTCACACAACTGTGAACGAGGTCCTCTGTCACTGGTGTGGAACTGTTGTTGATATGAGCTGGCTGCGATGGTTCAGTTGGCGGCACAACTGGGCTGACTGGAAATAGTTCCTGCATCCTGCTCAAAGCGTCTTCGTCTCTTGTCAAAAGATCGAAGTCAGACATAGGTTTTGCCACGACGACGTTAGGGTGAAACTGCTGCCACAGATCGATAAATTTAGTGCAACAGACCCCTTGCCTCCCAGTTTCTTCACATGATTTTTTAAACTCGCGCCAAACAGACATTTTGGTGTCACTCGATGACAGAAGCTTGATGTCATCATTCTTAAAACCTGGTATCCTCCCAGGAAGAAGAACAGTGTTTTCTTCTACGTAGTTCGTCAGAAAGTTCTTGACATCCTCACTAACTGCTTATAGTGTGGCGCCGTGTGGAAGTCTTTTGTGATTTCCTTGGACTCTCAGTGATAACCCATTCTCTCCATAGTGGTCTTTCAGTCTAAGGAATCGGGAATAATAATAATAATAATAATATTTATTATTTGGTATTGTGCAAATTAACATATATCAAATGATCAAATGTGCATTACAAACTATTAAAGCTAACTAAAAAAATACATTAATTACCGAATTAAACATGAATATATCTGTAAATGACACCTAACTTAATTATTTAGTACTTAACCTATTACTTACAATAATTATAACTAAAAGAAATGTTATATGTTTCATTAAAATTGATCAAAAAAAGACAGTAAAATTAATATTCACCTATGTTTAATTAGAAATTGTATGCAAGTTTAAAATAATTTAGTGTTTAGCTGTTTTCTTAAAAGTATAATAGTTGTCCTGTTTCCTAATGTCCTTCGGTAAAATGTTCCAGATTCTAGGGGCGGCTACTTTGAAAGTCCTGTCTCCAAGTGTCTTCTTTGATTGTGCACTATAATCCTCGCATAACATCTCCGCATCCGATCTAAGATTATATCCAGTGGTACTCTTAACTTTTATTAGATTGTATTCGGGTGCATTACCATAGATACACTTATGAGCAAGCATTGCTATCTTAAAATTTACCTTAGACGTACTGGAAGCCAATGTAAAATAACAAGTGTAGGAGTAATGTGATCATACTTTGCAATGTTACTAACAAGGCGAGCCGCTGCATTTTGTAAACGCTGTAATTTGCTTAGCTGGGTGGATGGAACACCAACCAAGAGGCTATTACAATAATCTATACGTGACATTATAACTGCTTCAACTATAGACTTCCTGTCATTGTAACTCAGATACCTGCTAATGCGTTTAATGTTATACAGATGATAAATAGCAGCTTGGCACGTTTCATTTATGTGTGCAGACATTGTGAGGTTCGTATCAAGCCACGTCCCGAGATTCCTAACAATTGTTACAGCTGGCACTTTTGCCTGGCCGACCACAATTTCAGATACATTAACTTTATTTACTTGAGCGCGTGTGCCGATAATCATAAATTCCGTCTTGTCATCGTTCAGTTTTAAGCTATCTGCAATCATCCAACTTCTAATATCTGAAATGCTATCTTGAAGAGCAGTGATAGCATCTTGTTCCCCTCCAGTGAAGTAGGAATAACTGATCCCATAAAGGATTACTCTACTCTGCAGTAGAGTAGGAATAACTGATCCCATAAAGGATTAGGAACATTTCTTTACAGATGGTTCTCCCTTAAAAGGTGAAACTGCACCAAGGACTCCACTTTTGTTTTTTGCCTGATATTTCAATAAAAGTGGATGCTTGAATGTTGGCCAGTATTACTAAGTCAAGTTCTCCATGTGATAGTTCCATGCAGTTATTCAAATTTTCCAGTACAGCTTTCTCCGAGAATTGTAGAGAACAGTGACTACCTTTAATGCCCCTAGAACATCTGCATCCAGCTTCAAGAAACTGTTTCAGTTTCCCCACACATTCCTCATTTTCACTAGTTAATAACTCCATTGAGATGAGAAAACTCTTCGTAGTTACCAAGACAACTCACCGCTGGGCGTTGTGTTACAATAATATTATGCAAATGTAAAACACTGCAGTCTGTATGCAAATTTTAGCTCATGGTAAATGTTGCGTGACATTGCTGTTGTCAATAATTTCAACGAACTGAAGGGGGCAATTATCCAGAATTTCAGGTGAAAATTAAATGAAACGGGACCTTTTACCGGAAAAGATTTTCAAAAATTTCGGACCACCTTTTTCGTCGTCCTGTAAAGTGAAAATTGCTATTCTGTTACGAAAATTATCGTATTTTTTAGGTGTAAAGGTACTATTTTAATTTCAACAGCGGAGTGTGTTATCAGTTGAAATAGTCAAGAATGTTAAGTTTGTCTCACTCATCAGTTGGTCATCCGTTTTTATAGGTCCTAAATTTTCTAGCGTGTTTACTTTTGTCTTGCTCAGCAGTACTAAACACAAGTTGGGGAACACGCTAGTCTGTTTTGACGAACGCGTTGACTTTCTATTGTCAACAAGTTGTCGAATTCGTTTGATGGTTTGCTCGTCTTTGAGTGGTAATACAACTACGCACGCATTCCATTATTAAATGTGGTGTTTTATCGCAGAAACGATTTTGGAAAAAAGTTTATGGTTCACCTCCCCTGATTCAACAATAATTAGTAGCAATTCAAAGACCCGAAGCGGTGAGCGGAGTTAGCTTGAAATAAACCAAAACCTTCCCTGTCATCGATTGACATAATTTGTGCATAAATTAATTTTATTAAGAGAAAATAATAATTTTGTGCTTTACTCACTCTTGCAACACATCATTTGATCTGGAACACGTGGATATGTTCAAATTAGTTCATGAGAACTCATACATGTAAGTGCTTTGTTGGTAAACGAGTTACAATTTACAATTGAAATTTTACATCTTGGTTAGTTCTTGTAAGGAAGCACGTAAGACTTATTCATTTTAGAGTGTTTAAAGCTTAGTGATATTTTTTGAAATGTTTCACTTATTGAACATCTATTACCTTTAAAATGGTATGGTTCTTATATGAACTGAACAGTTCACTATTTAAAAGAAGGCTACTAGGCATTTCACAGAGCATGGCCCTCTCTAAATCCCAAATTAAATTAATTGGATACTTTTCCTTGAAATCTTCAGGCATTGTCTCATTGACTAGTTTCCTGGATGGCCATATGTTAATATGGCCAAGTTTATCGTGGTGATTAAGGCTCTACAAGTTTACAGTTGGTTGAGAAATTTTTAAATAACTTAGTATCAGGCCTTCTTAAAGGGTTATGGGAGCGAAGATTTTAGATGGGAGGGGAAGGAGAGAAAGGAAGACCTGACACAAAACCATTGAGAGAAGCGTGTGACATATCCAAAATCTGGATGTGACAGTGATTGGATAACACACAATAGCCTCTGACGTCACGGACTGAAAGTAAACACGAGCAGGAAGATGGGCAGGAAGACGGAAGCCATTGAAAGATTTTTGATAGATGTTTTGATTACTTGTGGTACTTTTATGGACAGAGAAGAAAAGGGTATTGTTTCTGTTAATAAAATAAGAGTGAGGAAGCCATGTATTTAGAATAGCCAACAGCGCCAAGGCTCGTTTATTTTTATTTTGTACCGACTTGGTGAAGGGTGGTTACAATAGTGCGTGGGATTGGAATTCGTTTGCTTGCTTCTTCCAAAAAATCTTCACTTTTGATATGTTTTAAGCACAAGGGGTCTGAGGGGTCGCCATCATATTTCGCCAACGAGATTGCTTTGCTGTAGTCTCTCACTTCTTTCTTAACTGAACTTGCAGTGGCTTTCACAAGCTCTCTGCAAAGTGGTGGAAGTTTGAGAGCAGCGTTTGCTGCTGCTTGATACCTTTCTAGGCATAGGAGTTTCACCAATGCACCTTCCTATTTATCCTCGCAGCTCCTTTCAGCCACCTGAGAAGATGAGGGATAACCAACAAAGACCTAAAGAAAAAAACTATGATTTATTTAGTACAGTAACCACAAAAAATCTGATCCTAGAAATTCGAGTACCTACTCACCTTTGAAATCGGAGGTAAATTTGTTTCTACTGGCAAATTCAAAAGATTGGTTATTTTTGTATTGATGGCTGAATAATTGTTGTCCGGTTTGTTGGCTTCAAACATAGATCTTTTTTTTTACGTTGTTCTTGTGTCTAAACACGATGGTTCATTGCCCTTTTGACGCTTTGCAACGGGGGTAAAACTTTGCATACTGCAGACACTTTCACGTGATCAATACTGAGCTCTTATATGCTTATCTTGTCCAACTGTGGGCAGGTTCCAATTACAATTAATTCAAAGCCCATATATAGTACAGGTCTAAGTGCTGTACACGGACTCTCTGGTCTGCTAAGTCTCGTTTTTATGAATTCGAAACCAGGCTGTTCTGCACAGCCTCCATTTATGAATACAACGTATACTTTTTTATATAGTCCCAGTAGCCATATACATATCCATTAGTGCATTAAAATAAAAGGGAAAAGTACATAGTGCACTAAAATATGTACAGTCTGCTTTAGATATCAAGTGAGATAAGAATTAAAACTGCTAAATAGGCAATAGATAAACGTAAGATGTACAAAGTAAATGCAAATGATATAGAATGAGAATTTCAGCTAATATACCATGTAAGTAAACCTAATTACCCAAGCAAATTAAGACAGAATCTATTAGGAAATTAAGTAATTGTAATTTTCAGTGGACAAAAGCCTTGTACCAGAATATTTTGAGCAATATCACATACTTGTTTACACTTTTCAAGGGCTATAGATATAATTAGTTATCTGTAATCACCAAAGACAATTCCCTATGGGAGCCTAAGAAAATAAATTTCAAATTTCACCGGAAAAACTGCTGTGATGTTGTGATCCGAAGTTTCAGTTATAGGGAAATTAACTGCTGAACCACTTTGAACACTCTCTAACTGAGTCAGGACTGCAAGGAGGCAGATCTAGAATAGTGCCCTTTCAGCCGCTTCGTCCTGAACATCCTGTTCATCTGCTGTAGAAGTAGCAGCTTCTATTATAGATACAGCTGGTGGTCCTGGAATGATTGTGTCTGGTTTCATCTTATGTTTCTTTTGTTGAGCAGACTAAGAAATGTCCTTGGAAAAGAAGTCTTTTGGCCTTTATGGGGGAAACTTTTTCCTTTTCTTATTTTCTGGCCACATGTTGATGGTAAACTTTACCACTGGACCACAGTCTTTCACAGAAGGACTAGCTATTAAAACCATTCGTAGACTTCCCAACATATTTTGCAGTGAGCTTCTGTGTCTGGTGTTAAAAAGCTTCTTTGCAGTTTCTGCCTTCTCTGGTCATGCATTTCTGACTGGAAGTATCAAGGTAACAATGGTAGTGTGAAGCAGCATACTAAAAAAGTGGCTGTAAGTTCACTTTGTTCTTCTCTTCTGAACTGTAATGGCTCTCAATTGAATTGGAGTGGAGGGACTTATATACATACACCATTTACAGGTAGCCATGATGACACCTGAAGGAGGATCATGAGGTTATCTCTGTAGTTGAACAACAGTGCCATCCCTTTTCTTTCTCTGAACTTTTTAGGTACCATAGGAGTTGTGGACATTTGATTTGAAAGATATCACTTTTGTGTCACGCCAAATAGTAACAACCATCGATCCAGATGAGGCAGTATGATATTCCTCCTCTTCATTGAATTTAGCAGTCTTTCATCTTTTAAACAGTCTGGGCAAAGAGATCTTTTATTGTGAGTTGTGCCAACACTATAAGTACCAGCATTCTCCAATTGTCTGATCAGAGGAATAGCAATGAAAAAATTATCCATGGAAATGACATGGTTGGTGGGACCCAGGTTGGGTAGACAAAGATCTGTAACAACTCTGTGAGCTAAGCCATTCTCAGAATTTCCTTGCTTTACAAGGTACACTTGTAAGTCAGACATACAGCTGTATGCACAATCAGAACAAGCTAATGCCCACATCTTGCTTTCCCACTTGATAGGTTTCATTGGTAAGTAAGACATTGTTTTGTGGGATTTTTCTCCTTTCCTTTGATCATAAATTCATGCACAGAAACATTTTGTTCAATGTAAAAATGATCTTTGAATGATTACACAAGTTCAACAATCAGTGGCCTTACTTTCCAAATTTTGTCATAGCCTTGCTCACCTCTATTGGGCCTGACAAGATCCATAATTATTGTCAGCAAGATGTATATAGTTCAATAGTTGATGCCATCTTGTTGAAGTAAATACTTGAGCAAATGTTGGAAAACCAAAAACCCAATCAGCACAGAAGTAATTTTAATCCAAAATCTGGATGTGACAGTGGTTGGATAACACGCAATGGCCTCTAACGTGACCGACTGAAAGTAAACACTAACCGTGCGATCAGCAGGGAGACGGAAGCCATTGAGAGATTTTTCATAGATGTTTTGATTACATGTGGTACTTTTATGGATGTAGAGGAATTCAAAAAGGCTCTAGAGGGCACTCTCAAGTTCTTTCCCAGAATAAAAATATAACCCGAGCAAGAATTCTCTCTTGAGTATTGAAAGACGATGTCAGTGCTTCCAATATCTGAATTCTGATTTACAGCATCCTGCTGTTAAAATGGTATTGTTTCTGTGAATGAAATGAGGGGAAGCCATGTATTTAAAATAGCCAATGGTGCCAAGGCTTGTTTCTTTCTATTTGGTACCTACCGCTTTTGCTAGTGGCGGTTACAATAGCGTGTATGATTGGAATTCGTTTCTTCCAAAAAATCCTCACTTTTGAAATGTTTTAAGCTCAAGGGGTCTGAGGGGTCGCCATCATATGTTGCCAATGAAATTGCTTTGCTGTAATCTCTCACTTCTTTCTTAACTGAACTTGCAGTGGCTTTCATGAATTCTCCGTGAAGTGGTGGACATTTGAGAGCAGCGTTTGCTGCTGCTTGATAATTTTCTAGGCACAGGAGTTTCACCAATGCACCTTCCTATTTATCCTCACAGCTCCTTTCAACCACCCGAGAAGACGAGGGATAACCAGCAAAAACCTAGAGAAAAAAATGTATGATTTCTTTAGTACATAATCATAAAAAATCTGATCATAGAAATTCGAGTACCTACTCACCTTTGAGATTGGACGTAAATATGTTTCTACTTGCAAATTCTTAAGGTTGGTTATTTCTGTATTGATGATTGAATAATATTGTCATCCAGTTTGTTGGCTTTAAACGGATCTTTTTGACATTGTTCTTGTGTCTAAATGTGATGATTCATTGCCCTTTTAACACTTTGTGGTGGGGGTAATTCCAGTTGGTGATCGCTGGTCCTGGAAAACATGATTTTCTTTCCCTGATTTCTCAGGAGTTTGAAGAGTACAGTAGTTTCTGAATTTCCCTCAGACAATTCTTGGCCTGATGTACTGGTCAACGCCTGTTGTTATGAAATCGTAGCAACACAAGCATTGGTTTTTGCATAAAAACTTTCCAGGGTCAGAAGCCATTATACTAGCGATTTCAAGTGAGTTAAGAATTAAAACTGCCAAATATGTAATACATAAACATGTACAAAGTAAATGCAAACAGCATATAACAAGAATTTCACCTAATGCAGCATGTGAGGAAAATCTAATTACCCAAGCAAATTAAGACGGAATCGATTAGGAAATTGAGTAATAATTACTCAGTTTCCGAATTTTCCTTATTGTCATTTTCAGTGGACAAAAGCCTAGTACCCGAATATTTTAAGCCATATCACATACTTTTTTTACACTTTTCAAGGGCTAGAGATGTAATTAGTTATCTGTAATAACACCAAAGACAATTTCTTATGGGAGCCCAAGAAAATAAATTTCAACTTTCACAGGAAATGAGAAAACAGAGGTAAAACCGTCATGTGTAAGATTTCATTTTGTGAAATTTGAGGTGCTTGAAGTTTGTTTTCTCGGGCTCCAATAAGAACCTTTTTTTCGGAGTTATTTCATACAACTTATTACAGGTATAGGCGGAAGAAATATCGACAGTAGCCACAGAATTTGCCTCTGTCAACTGCTAGCTGCAAAATGATCCAATATGACAGAGAAGAATCATCTCTTCCATAAATATTGATAAACCCATTTGTGGATAAATTTTTTGAGTGGTCTTTTTCAAATTCATTTCTGGTTGGACATTTTGCTTGGAGTTTGGCTTCACATCATACAACAAGCACTTCACTCTTTCTCTACTCCTGGCTTCATCAAGTTTGGTTTTAGAAATGGTGACTTCAATCACTGGTTTAGCTGAAATTTTTTCACCACAACCCTTTTTATGCCATTTCTGGAACTGAGATGTGCAGGCAAGGTCTGACTGTGTATCATAATCCTGGTAAAAATCATCAGTGCATGCACATATTAAGATCTCTCCTTACAGTAAGTTACCCCACCCAGCCCAGGAAAGGTAAGCCACACCACCAGGGTCTACATTCTCTACTATTTCCAACAGTGGTGCAACTTCTTTTTTGTCCCTTAAGGACCAGATAAGTGAATGTGCTGTGAGACAGGACCTACAGTGTCTTGTCCTTATCAGGGAAGACTAGAAGGCCTAACTATAGATTGCAGTACTTTCTCCTCAGGTATTTAAAGACCCCGAGTGTTGGTCCAGCCGGGGTTTCAACTTGTGTCCTCCCACTCTTCTGACTGGTGCTCTCCCAACTGAGCTAACCATGCTTCGGGTAAAAATGTTGCAGTTTTTTTCAGAAAGAATGAACACAAAAATACGATCAGTGGAATATATATTCCATTTCAGTCCACACCAGTACACACATTAGGATAGTTTGATGCACTCTCAGAAACTGCCCTCCTGTTCCTCTTGGTAAGATGACTATAGTGGTCAAGAACATATTCTCTATAGGCTCTTTATGAAAGAACCTGGTTCTGTTGTCGTCTCTGTCATTCATGATGTCACCCCTATTTCGGACAGCAAGCTAAAGGACTTCAGGGTCCAAACACAGCTTTGTAAATTTTGCATAGAAGTCACACGCACCTTCTCTGACTACAACACTTATTCCCTGTCTTGTAGCATGACTCTACACTTTGAACATTTGCACCATGGTCAGGAAGCACATCAGGTGTTTCTGGATCTTGCTCAGGATCACTTACTGGAGTGTCTTGAATAGCCAAAGATTTCT